ATTTGTTAAAGAGGTCAGCTTTTTCATTTGTGAATAGTTTGTGAAGCTTCTACTTTGAATAGTTATATTTCATAATCTATAAAGATCTAAGTAGATCAGAGTTTAGGACTTACCAGGCTCCAGAAAGGGGAATTTAAAGGATTTTATGTGAAGTACTTACCTTATTATTCAGTCATTTCATATCCTATGTTTAGAATTTTCTTTCACAGCTCCCAGGCTTGCTTTTCCTGTCATACAGGAGTTTTGTTGAGCTTTCCTTCAGGCACCAGCACCTACTGTAATCTGATTCCTCAACACTTTGAAGATAGGGAGGTAACTCCTTGTATCTCTGATCTAATATTAACACTTTAACAAATGAATACACCTGCTCAGTCAGTTAATGTTTTCAGTGTTTAGCTTCCTCACAGAGCAGCAAAAGCCTGCTAGGGATTGCACTGGTTTGGAGTAAGGAAACTTTGGGATAAAGAGGAGGCTAAATCAATAAAATGGATCAAATACAGAAACTGTAGCTTTTGTGCAGGACAGTGAAAAAAATGCGTTGACAAATCAGCATGCATTGCTGGAAGCCCTTGCTGTAGGAATGATTGGGGATATGATTTTCTGTCAATCTCTGCTGTCTCAACTAGAGGATTTTTACAGTCATTATGTGGCTGTCAGAGGCACGTTAGAATTACCTAGTAATTTCTGTGAGAGGAGAGTGGCCATTTGCTGCCCGCTTCACTGTCTTGCTGGTCTTCCCTGCCCATCTTCATTGTTTCAACTTTATCTTCGTCTGGGGTAGAAAAGGATCATGTGACAATAGTATAAAACACCAGGAGGAGCATTGCTTCCTTAAAAAAATGAACAAGGAGCTTTATTAGATGGCAGAGTGAGCATTTCATTACTTTAATAAAGCATAATATCTCTGTAGCTACTTTATCCCTGTTGCTTTCTGCTTCACTGCTGAGCTTCCACCTGAAAGTTTTGCCTACCCCTACCCTGCTTCCAGCTATCCATAGAGATTTTCATGGGAAGAGCCACTGTCTTTTCACCATCCAGCTAGTCCCAAGCCTTCAATGGCTGATCAGTAACCCTGCTTTTTATAAGCAATGGCTGGAAAGCTCACTCCTGATGAGGGGTTTCTCCTGTGCTGGCAAACCCTTGCACAGAAGGGTACAGATTCCCCGGTTCAGAGGAAACTTGTCTAGGACAGTGGTCTCCAAAGTGGGGTGTGTGCACCCCAGGGGTTGCGCAAGACGATCCATTGGGGTGTGGGAAGAAAATATTAGAACTTCTATTTCTATTTATTTTTTATCTAAAAAAAATAAGAAAGAAATTAAGCTTTACTAATATTTAATATACAGATTGACACTGGTGCCCTCACTTGGTCCATATGTCAGACGGTCACGTGTCATGTACAGTACGTGAGTAGTACATGTATATAATTTATAAATAAATAAATTTACATATATTGGGGGTGCGTGCTCAAAAATTTTTTACTGATAGGGGTGCGTGATCAAAAAAGTTTGGAGACCACTGGTCTAGAAGGTGAAGCATGTTTGTGCCAGGGGATTTCCACAGCAAGCAGAGATATTTTCAGCCCATGGAAATCACCTTCCCTGCCAAGGTGTAGCTTTTTTTAAATATTTACCCTGCAGCATACTACCGCTATAGCTCCTCTTACCTACTTTATGCCCTTCCAAGGCTCACTGATCTTTCACTTTCCAACAGACATTCCCCAACATAAAGCCCTAGCTATAGCTTGTCCACGTAGGCATTTGCAGTTGGGGGTGGAAGTGGGGTTGGGGATGTGGGTGTCTATGAATATTGGGCTAAGAGATTTGTCAGAATCGTATTTAATCTTAGCTGGTGATTTGAATATCTATTTTTCTTCAGTGATGAACTATCACTGATGGTATATTTGGTTTTTAATGAAATCCTACATTGTAATGTATGAGTACTGAAGGCGTTAAGACCACAACAAATAGACCGGGGTCAACAACATTTTTGAGCTGTGCGCCAAAAACACCCACAACCTCGACTTGTAAGATATTGACATGCCAGGTGTGGGCAGCAGGGGAGCCATGAGGGCCCCCATCCTTTTGACAGCATGGCCCTGGCTCCTTCTGCACCATCCTCCCCAAGGCATTCATGCCAAGCAAAATGCCTTTCTGTACCACACTCTGGCACCCATGCCGGGACTTACCATAGACCCACTGAGGTAAAAAAACTTGCATATATTTAATTTGTCCTAAGAAGCAACCTGCTTAACTAGCAAGCGAGAATCAGTCAACTCACCAAAACACGCTACAGTTGTCACTCCCTTGAGCATCTGAGAATATTAATGATGCCAAGGACCACAGGCAACATTTCTGGTACTGTGTTCAACCTCAAAGTCTTTTGATGCTGTAAATTGCTGAAAGGCTTTACTTATAACTCAAGACCTCTGGATATGGACATTCTTTTTTAAATCTGATGCGACTTCTCCCTCCAGAAGACAACAATTTGTTTCAATAAAAGAACACAACTCCCAGATACAAACTACTTGGGAAATCCTGCAGGGATCCTTCCTAGACAGCATATTTATTACTCTTTTATATAAATCTTTTGTATGTCTTGTAAATATTCTAATACTGTTCTGTCCTCAGAAGGCACGATTACTTATCAAAGACAGAGCTTTCCCTTGGACTTTTGGATCACCTGCTAGTTTGATTTTGACTGAATAGAGACAGGTACTTTTTACTAGTGCTTATGTCTTTGCAAGGCAATAGGGCAGTACCTTGGTAATATCATAATGTATAATTATTAGGAATAACAAAAACAAATAAAAGAGTTAGGGAGAGTTACTTTCCTGCAGTACATAGTGGCTGTATGATTCCCAATGGCTTGTTCGCTATTCTGTATTTAATTTTATACATTTTTTTAATGTTTGTAAGAGTTCAGTGCTTATGAAAAGTCTGAAAGCTGATTTTACGTAGCCAGGCACAGAACAGCCAAAGAGTGCTAACACAAGCTGCCCCTTATACCTCAGCTGGTAGGGACTGAAGCCAACTTTGGCCATTTTCAAGGGGCCTAGGCCAAGCTGCAGAAGTGTGGCTAAAGCAGAAGTCCCCAAAGCCTGGTTCTGAGTGACTATATAATAACTTTTGCAGATGTGACAACCAATTTGGTCAGCAAAGTAAATGAAGTAATTAACATCCAGCTGCACCAATAATGAGATCCAATTAAACAGAGCACAGGGCCTGAAAGGAGAAATTATAAAGGAAGACCTTAAATATTCCAGATATACTATACCATAATTTTATCTTAAAATTAGTAGCAGTGACTGATGTAACCAAATGTATTTGCATACTGTTTAGCTATAACAGATATATTTTTGTTAAATTTCTCAGATAAGTTGTAAAAACAAACCAGCTTTGTCAGTGCAGATGGTAAACTAAGGTGGAGAGAAAGAAGGGTAGTGGCAAGCAGCATTCCATGGTGGTGAAAGAAAGAGATAAGAAACCTTCCCTTCTTTCCTCAAGGACATAAATCCCAACTAATTGACACCTCCCAATTCCACAGAAGATCTGGTTCTGTCCAGTCCAAACAAATTTCAGTGAAACAAATGCAAGAGTGAAACAAAGGCAGACAAATTTCTTTGGGTAAATGTGATATCTTTTATTAGACCAGCTAAAAAGTTGGAAAAATGGTTCTTTGAAAGTTTTCAGACACAAACACCCTTCTTCAGGCATAGGGTGAGTCTGTTGGTATTTTGTGTGCACCCCTGGGTAGAATAGAAGCCGGTATGCAAAATACAGGTCTGTTAAAATGCAAGTGAGTGGCAGTGAAGATCAGAGACGACGCGTAACAGTAGGTGTGAGACAGGTAGGTGGGGAGCAGGGGGAAGAGGAGAAAGTTGACCTGGTGATAGGATGTATCTAGTAAAATGTAGAGAGGTTACCTGGGGCTATTAGATGGAAGACAGGTTATGTGTCATAAATCCAATGTCTATATTTTGTCCATAATTTTTTGTATCCAGTAGATTTATGCAGTGAAGTTTGTAGGGTTATCCATGAAAGATTTTTTTTAAAATTCTCTTTGAGGGTTAGAATTGAGAGATTGGGAAAAAGTGGTTGTCTGTAAGAAGTGTGCACCCACATTGGGTATTTTTGTCTTTGATAGATTTTTGGTGTGCATTCACTTTGGTGCACAGTTATTGTTTGCTTTATCCTACATATTTGCCATCAGGGCATTTGGTGAAATATATTACATTTCTGGAGGTGCACATGTAAGATCCAGGAATGGTGATAGTTCTGTTGTGGGGTGTGGTTATTGTGGGAATGGTGGAAATGTGTTGGCAGGTCTAACATGTCTTGTCCTGGCATGGTCTGGATCCATTCAGTGTGTTTTGGGCCATAGGAAGTTTGCTTCTGGTGATAAGGTTGGCAAGGTTTGGTTCTTGTTTAAAGGCCAGGATGGGTGGTTCTGAAAATATCTCTTTAAGAATTGGGTCTCCTTCTATGGGTTGCAATTGTTTGAGGATTGTCCATATAGTTTCCAGGGAAAGATAGTATATCATAACTGATGGTGTGAGATTCGTGGGGATTTTCTTTTTGTACTGCAGGAATTCTTCACATGCTTTCCAAGTGGCTCTTTCAAAAGTACAATCTCTCTCTCTCTCAAGTGTCCTTGTTGAGTAAAAACCCTTTTTAGATTTATGAGGTGACAATCATAGGTTTTCTTCTCAGTGCAAATTCAGTGATATCAGAGGGCTTGGATGTATATTACAGGTTTCTTGGTGTGTTTAGGGCGATTGCTGGTTATGTGTAGTCTGTGGGTTTCTTGTATATGGTGGTTTGTATTTTACATTAATGGAAATTGATCATAGCATCTTAAAAGCAAATGTTGGTGTTGGAGTATTCAAGAGAGAGTCCGATAGCAGGATGATTATTTGTGATGGAATTCCATCAGAGACTGCAGGTTTGCAGTACAAGTTATGAACACGTCAGCTATATATCTTAGGTATAACATGGGTTTGATGGTGCGGTTCTGGAGGAAGTCTTCTTCCAGGTAGCCCATAAAAAGTTTGGCATATTGTGGAGCCATTTTGGTTCTCATAGCTGTACCCATGGTCTGGAAGAAGTGTTGGTTATTAAAAGTGAACTTGTGTCTGATGCTGAAGTGTGAACCAAGGAAATTTAAGTGAAACCAATCAGAGAACATTTATTAGATTAGAATAAGCCATCTAGAACTTTGGAGAACTCAGCATATTCAAGAAGACCTGCTGCCAGTCTGTGCACCACATTTCTCCCCACTCTTGAGCCTCCCCAGCCCATACAGGTAAGGCTCTACATTGTCCAAAGGTCTAATCTGGCTATCCATGACGACGTGAGTGGGTTTTTTTGTGTTTTGGTATATAAGGAATAAAAAGCCAGACTGTCCTTTTTCACAAATGGTAGTCCTAATACCTGAATTACAGATAAACCTGAAGGTTGGTACTGATAAAAGAGGCAAGAGACAGATTGACAGTTTAGCATCTGGTATGCAAGAGAATATATTAGCCCAACCTGTAACAGTATTACTGTGATATGGACATCTATTTACAAATAACTGGACCAAGAAAACCCCACTCACTTTAGGAGAACAGATCATGATCACTGTTGACCCAAGTGAGTTCTTTACTAGAAATAGTAAGAGTCAATGTTTCACTATAAGTCTCCCTGAAATGTCTATATATTTGTGTTTTGTATCTGATACACCAACTGGACAGTTGCACTTTAAAATGTAACCTAAGACAATCTGTAGTGCAGTGGAGAATTCAGTAATATACTCAAGAACATTCTTGAATCCATCCATATTTGGTGAGACACTTAAGCACATGCTTACAATTAAGCATGTGCTTAAGCATTTGCTAAATCAAGACCTCAAAAAGATCAAAGGTCTCTCCAAATAGAGCAGCCCATAAAGCTACTGAGGTCAAGACATACCAGTTTTTGCAGTCAATGGCACAGATGTGAATAGCATCACATATAGTTGCCTTTGCCTTCCCATCCTGAATGATCACATGTCATTTTACAGCTATCTTGACCAAAGATAGCCTTTGGTACAAGTCCAGAATGGGACTCTCTCACACACCTCTACAGCTGTAGTAAAAGATCTTAACTACTTTGCCAGCATGCCCCATCCTCAGATACGTTAGCCTAGGCCCAAGCACATGTACAAAGATATTCCAAGAAGTGCAGCCCTTATTTACTCCACTTAGTTTAGGCCCTTGAATATGAAGCCTGACTTGAGACAATGATGGTTTAAAAACCTTGGCCTGAGGGAACTTATGATTTTTTATCCAAGCAAGAGTTGTAATGAAAATCTATAGACTGTGTGGATTCAGTTTTAAGTTGCTTGCAATAAAGCTCTGATGTAAAGAGTACTACCTGCAGCATGAGGTTTCTTAGATCAGATACATTCTGCTTCTAATACCATCAGAAAGTCTAGTTACTAAAAAAGCCCATAATGCAAACATCAAACCAGAATGGAATAGGACATATCCAATGAGCTCCACCAGATATTTACAGATGGCTTTACAAGCACTGGAATACTTTAATTTGAAGACAGAAAACACTATAATGCAGGGGCTGTCAGCCAGGGGGTACTTGGGAAGGCCCCAGGTGGCAGCACAGAGAAGTGGGGGGTACTTGGGAAGTCATGGCGTGTAGGGGAAGAGGAAGGCCATCCAGCACTCTGCCACCACCACTGCTTCTCTGTGCCCAAGTACCCCCATGTTGCATCCAGCTGCCAGGGGACCCCTCCCCGCCACCCCCGCTTGTCGACCGGCTGCCAGGGGCCCTCCCCCCCGCGCACCCAGGAAGGGTAGTCCAGGAGGGGTATCCATCAGAAGCGGTACACTCTTTAAAAAAGGTTGAAAACCCCTGCTATAATGGAGATAAACCACCCTCTCTTAGCTCTTGGAGAGGTTTGTTTCTACAGTCCTAGAAGTTAGAGAGAGAACAGGCCTTTTATAGCAAGTCTCCCTCATCCTTCCGCCAGTGAAGGGGTATTCCCTATGCTATATTTTATAACATGTTCTCCAAGTGTGGCTTAGAATGGTTCAGTCAACGGAGGTGTAATCCATTGCAGTCCATCACAATGGAGGGAGAGAGTAAGAAAGATGTCTTATTGTCTCCTTTAGGACCTCCAAAACCCCAGGAGCTACTAAAAAGTGCTGATCCTTGGGATCTTGTCCGAGATGTACCTACCTAGCTTAATTCTTGCTTGCAAGTCACGTAACCCATTTTATTTTAATTTGCTCTTCTCTCTCTCTCTCTTGCCTAAATAAATCTTGTGTTTAATTAGTCTTTTTAACTGAGACTTAGATTTTTGTTTAGTCATTTCATAGAAATAATTTCCAAGGGATTAAACAAAGTTTGAACCAGTGTGTGACAGAGGGTCATCCCAAGGCAGATTACTACGTTGGCCTGCCCACCTGTTCAGGGCAGTCCATTCACTTACCTTGCCTACCACGCCTTTTGATGTAATTAATAAGTTGTTTCTAGATGGGAGGCTGCCCCTTTTATGCTCTAATACCAAGGGCATAATACATAACTCCAGCCTCCCCTTATCATGTCCCAAGCCTCGCAGGTGTTATTATTGTGATCAACTCTATGCGCCCCCTTGGCGCTGAGCCCTCTGGCTCCCATGTCCCTGCACCACTCAGACACCAAGTTCTCCGGTTCCTGGTTTTCTGCATCTCTCTCACTGGCATCTGGCTGTACAACTGTCTCTCGTGTCCGACTCTCCACGCCTCTCTCCGCCATCTGGCTTGGGCGCCTCTCTTTCAGGCGCTAGGGCTCCCTGTACCCCTCAGGCATCTCTCTCTATGCCCAACACTGGATTCTACCCAAATCATGTGCGCCTTTCCCCAGGCACTAATGAGGTCTCCAAACCTCCCCTTATAGCCTCATCCCAGTCCTCTGGTGCAAACCATAACAAAAACATAAGCCCCTGGGCTACAACTGAAAAACTAGCAAAGTCAATAATGCTATGTCCCTTTAAGGGGAAAAACTTCCACCCTCAGGCAATGTACCCCTAGCCTAGGTACCTGGGAGACTCCCTGGAGTCTTGCAGCACTTGGGTTGTAAAGCAGGCAGCACCAGATCTCAGGTAGCTTCCTCATGCAGGAGCTCCTTTCCTAGCAGTTGCCAGAGAGAGAGTGTGTGCCTGTTAGCTACAGCCTGGGCTTATATGTTCTCAAACTCTGCCTCTTTCCAGCCATGTGATGTCTGCAGGTGTTGCCCAATTACCCCCTTAGGCTGTTACTCCATTAACCCACAGCCGGGGAGCTCTGCTTAGCCTGCCGAACTCCCTGGCCAGGCTGCTTCAGCTTTAAAGGAGCAGGTACATCTTAGTGCCCTGCTACACAGTGATTCTCAGCTAGGATACTGTGGTACCCTGGGGTGCTTTGAGAGCCTTTCAAAGGGACCGCGGGGTGCCAGGCAACGTTAGCACTGTCTGAGCCTTCAAGAGGCTGAGGAGCGATGATTCACAAGATAAGTAAGCAAAGATTCACAAGATTAACTCAGAGATTGCAAATAGGAATCTATAATGGTAATAACATTCTGCCCTGTTGTCTTCTGTCTGAATTGGTTACAACAGAAGAATTGCTGTATTATTTTGTGTAGTCAAAAAACAAGTGAAAGCTAAGAGCTGGCATTTGCTGAGGGGTGCCTCGAGTCTAAGAAGGTTGAGAATTATTGATTTAACCTCTAAAAAAGGTTGCAACAGGACAGTCAAAAACTGTTCCTTAGTCCAAGGACAATCTCAGTAAAAAAAAAAAAGAAAAAACAGACTAAAAAAATGCTGTCCTAGAAAGAATGATATTCCCAAAGCCCCAGTGCAAGAGATGCATGAAAAGTGTCTAAGGCTTACAGACAGGAATCATATTTAAGGGCAACATTAATTACCCTTATAGAACTTCCTTTGTGTAACATATAAATATTTTGTGGGGAACAAGTTTTTAAATTTCCCTGGGGGAAGTATTTTTTAGAAGTACACAAGTCCAATTTGTAGGCATACATGTCTTTGAACTTAAGGGTTGCAAATACATTTACATTTTAAAACAGAATATTTGAAAAACAGTTTTTTCACTTATCAACAAAATCTTGAGTCGCATATTGTGGGAAGGAAACATCTCTAACACCTAAAGCAGAGTCCAGAACTTTATACAGCTTGTTTCACATGTTTCCGTTATCATCAGCTCTTGCATGAAAAGAATCCCTCTGAATCAGGTTTTGGAATATAGATATCATTTTAGACTAAGGTTTTCTTCTGATTACAGCCCTCAAGGCTGAGTCAATGGCACAAGTGCCATCTCTACCATAGACAGGAAAAACTGCCATTTGCAGAGGTGGAAGCTTAACTCCACTTCCAATGGGACATACCTCACCACTGTAGCTTAGCAAGCAGTATCTCCGTTTTGAAATGAGGACACAGTAGGCATTTATAGATGAGCTCTGGGAGGCGGGGGGTGTTTAATTAGCGACCCACACTAATTTAAAAGCGTATGAGCGTCATGTGTACCAGCATCTGCACACTGAAAAATAGCAGCAGGGAGCTTTGAACCAACTCATAGAACAACCTTTAGTTGCAAGTCCATCCCCCTACCCTTTTTTAGCACGGGGATGCTGATACACATGACACTGGAGGCTGTTGGAGCATGTTAATTTCAATGCTCCAGCAGACACAGTTAATCAAATCTGATCTAATGCACTGGATTTACAGCATGTTGGAGAAGCCTTTCTGCATGTCTAGTGGAGCCAAGTAAGACTAAGGGCCTTGTTTCATGTTAATTTTGGGCAGCTCCTGGAGCTCTTAACCCCTGGATTCTCTGCACATTAACACCTTTAAGTGGCTTATAGCACATTATGCTGCTCGAAGTTATGCCACTCCAGGGCAGGATAATCTCTTGATCTGCATAACACAGCATCTGTTCCATTAAGGTGTGGCCACTCCCCACAGATATGCCACTCAGGTTGAAGGTATGACTGCAAGCTAGCATTAAGCTGATTAACATTTGTACAGCTTGCAGCATAAAGTGTAACAAGGCCCTTTAAGTGAATTCCCTAAACACAAACACAGCATGTCAGTGGCAAAACCACAGATGTATTCCAGATCTATGCATGAACACCCAGTCCTGTGCACTAACAGAATCAAACCCTCCCCTCCACCTTAGTGTAAATTACTTCACACAACGACATGTCCAGATTTTAAAACACCATTTACAAACTTGTTTTCTGAAAAAACTGTTCCTGCTTTCTGCCCGACTTCACTTTAACATAGCTAACTAACACCTCTCCCAAGATCCCAATTCATATGGGCCTTGATTCAGGAAACTCTCTCTCGTCGGACCATTGCTTATATTTCTAAGTCAATACTACAGAATATGGATTCTTCACCAGGGGATAGTGTGCAGGGAGGATGAGGAATGTTAATTTTTTAGTTACTACATGGGAGAGGGTGCTGAATTCCTCTTTTACTGTAACATGGAGTTGATGTTGTGGAAAGTGTTGAGAGCCACTACCCCAGAGGAAAGCTTTTGGGAAAGGTATGCAAAACATGACATTTCTTGTACGCATATTGACAATTCGTTAAAGCACATGGTTCTGCTTCAAAATTTCTTCCCCTGTCCCCTCTGTGTTATGCACTGTGGAGCAATTCATCTATATGATATTGAAAACCAAGACCAGGTTAATTATTCATGTTAGTTTCATACATACTTGCTTCTCAAAATCATCATTAGCATCTTGTTTCCCTTTTCCTTGATGTCTTTGTATATGCCACTGTTAGCATCTTCCAAAAGTATATTCCATGGTGATACTTGGAGGGACTGTTTCTGTTAGTTCCAAAAGTAATTTTTCTATGCCTGAAAGGATCTTCTCAGAAAATAAAAATCGTGGTCAAACCTTGCAAACCTGGGTACATAAATTTACACTGCAAAATCCAGGTTAGGCACCTAAATATAGGCAGCCTGCATTCCTAGGTTTGGAACATTTGCAGTTCTTATCAATTACAGGAAGATGTGTCAATGCTCAACCTTCCTAAAAATCAGGAGTTTTGATCTTTAGGTGCCTCTACATAGCTTTGTGACCCTTAATTTAGTCACACAAATAAAATATATTCATCCCATATACAAAAAACAAATTACAGGAGTATCCTTGTGACAGGAGTATCTCTACTACAGAGTTTCTATCAGTGACTCCACCCTCCTCTTGTGGGCCAACTGCCTGCTTATTTGCCTGCCATGCCTTGATCTTAATTGATGTAATTAGCAGGAGGCTGCCCATTTTATTTGCCCCGGTGCCAGGGGGCGTTATCTGCGGCTCCTTTTCCTCCCCTACACCGCAGCCCAAGCCTCGCAGATGGTACTGATGTGGTTTTGACCTGGATCTTGCTGTAATTTGGCCCTCTCCTTGACTTCCCTGGGCTTCCACCACCCTGTCTCATCCCGTGACTTCCTGGCACTCTGCCACTCCCTCTCGCTCTGGGGCTGGGGCCAGTGCACCCCAAAATGCCACGCCCTCTCTGGCACCAGGGTCCCCACACTACTGTGGAGCCCCTATGCGGCCTCCTCCAACCCCTAATAGCCTCACCCAGTCCTCCGGTGTTATAAAACTACAAACAGAAAACTCAAGCCCCTGGGCTATAACATAAAATCTAAGCCGTCTGGCTAACCACCATTCAAATCCCTACCAGGGAATTCTCTACCCCGTATCTGCGAACAGAAGCTGCTCGTGCCGTCAGGCTTCTCTACTCTGCTTGCTCCGGCAGAACTCCTTCTCCCTTGGCTGGTGGTGGAGAACTGCCCTTCTGGCCTCACTCCTGGAGTTTGTGCACGCCAGACCCTGCCCCTTCCTGTCAGCTGACTCCCCAGCAGTTGCCCTAGCAACCCACACCTGTGCCTCTGCTCTGAGAGTGGCAGGCACCTTAGTGTCCTGCTACACTTTGTATAAACATGTGTTTATACACTTTGCTAGATTGGGGCTGTGGCTTCACTTCATTTTGCTCTCTAGCATGTTTTAAAATGCTAGGGTTGCAAAAGCCTCAGGGGAACATTCAAAACCAAAATAAAATCCTGTTTATAGCAACTAAAAAACAAAGAAAAAAAATCCTGAAACAACTCAAACAACTTGCATTTGCTTCATTTGCCAAGTTGTGACCTGAGGTTGGACTGGATACTCATTTGTATAACAGAGTCAAAATTTGAAGGAATAAGTCAAGGATTAGGGTCAGGATTTTAAATGCTTAAGTCAGGGAACACAATTCCCAGAAAACCTTCTGAATCTTATACCCATATTCTGTACAACAAAAACAAACAAAAAAACCTATTTGAGTTACTTATGCTAGTAAAAGGCACTATAAAATAAGGATAAAAATAAACATCAGACAGAAACATATGTACAGTAATAGACACTACAGGTGCACAGGGATTCTTATGGAATCTAAGGAGCCAGGTCAGAGGAGTACTGTGGAAACAGATACAGGAAAAAAGCTGGGTCTAAAAGGTTGCCACAGTACTCCAGGAAAAGGCACCAGGAGGTGAAGATGGAAAAGGCCAGGAAAAAGCATGCTTAAGTGTACAGAGAACCAGGGGGAAGCATCAGCAGAAGGAGCATGTGTAGGTATGCTTCTAGGGTTGCCACTGCCACAAAGGGAAGGAAAAAGAAAGCAAACAAATGAAGGGTAAGACGACATACAGTTACTTGTACTGGTAACATTGCGGAAACCTTGCTATGCAGGTATGCTGAAAGCTGGTAAATTAGAATACATCTCCTTTTGGAGTAATACCATACACTTCCATAATTCATTAAACATTATCTGATCTTTTAGAGTAAAATACTTAAAAGAACATTTTATTAAGCAGGTACCAATTCTTGAAAACAATTTAGAAGTAATTGCATGGGAATGCTATCATCTGTATATAATTTTAATCAGCTAATACAAGGAGAGTTCTGTAGGCAAGCAGTGGACAAGGAAGCACCCCCAGTGCAGAATGCAAACCATCTGGATTTAAATTTAAATAAATCCAACCACCAAGGTAAAAGGTAGGTTGCTTGAAGTGGTGTGTCATAAATATGATATTCCAAAAATGTGGCAAGAAAGAGGAGCTGAAATCCTTTTTCTTTCTAAATATGTACAAAAAGACTGATGTCAATGTAAGAACATAAAATGTACTAGTGAATGAATGAGGAAAAAAATCTAGCGTCTGGAAAAAATGAAGAGCCAAAGAAACTGGAGCTGAAAGCAGATGTGCATATCAAAAAATTAAGTCTTTTAAAATTGTTATTATTTATTATTTAGCTCAGGTAGAAAAGGGAAAATGAAACCCATCATTATCCTCATGTGCTGGAACATACACAACAGTTCCTATACATGAAATTATTAGCAAAATATGAGCCCAAATAAAAAACTGAGAATATAGAGCTAGTTAAGAGAGTTCAATTCCAAGTTAAATATCTGACAAGCAGATGACTATACCCCCACCCCCAACTCCACTCCCATCTTCACTTGCATGTAAAACCCCCTTATGTGGAATGGTGGGCGGGGGGGGGAAGGGTAGTTGGTCTCCCATCTCTAATATCCACAAGTCCTCTGGTGCATTGCCAGGGTGACACTATTTCTTCTTGGTAGACCTCTTTCCTTGTCCTTTTGCGGGCTTTCCTTTCCCACGGAGCTTTTTCAGTCGTTTCATCTCATCTTTAAAGTCT